TTGGTTTTTCAAGATTTTCACAACATGCTACCAAACGGGCGTCGCGCGCGCGCATGTCGAAATCTGTCGAACGCCTTTGCGCGTGTGCCGTCGCGAGAATCCTCTGCAAAAAATGAAACGAAGTGCAGGCGCGCGAGTCGTCGCGCGCGTACGCCGAAATCCTTCAAAACCCATCGGTTTCGGAAGGATTTCAAAATCGCGCTTCCAAACAACCTACAAAAACACAAGGTTTCGCAACACGGATTTTCAACAAAAGCGTGCGCGCGCGCTCTTGCGTCGTCGTTGTCGTCGTCGTCGTCCCTCCCATCTCGCCGTCGTCGTCGTCGCCGGCGTCGTCGTCCTCTGTCTTTCCTCGTCGTCGTCGTCGTCTTGGCGTCGTCGTCGTTTCCGTCGTCGTTGTCGCCGTGGTCGTCTTTCCTCCCTCGTCGTCCGTCGTCGGCGTTTCGCCGTTGTCCCTGCTATTTCGTCGTCGTCGTCGTCCCTCCTTCGTCGTCGTTGTCGTCGGCGTCGCCGTCATCCCTCCTTCTTCTTCGTTCGCGTCGTCGCCATCCTCCCTCGTCCCTCGTCGTTGTCGTCGTTGCCGCCGTCGTCGTCCTCCCTCCTCCCTCGTCGTCGTCGTCGTCATCTTTGGCGTCGTCTTCGTCGTCGTCGTCGGCGTCGTCGTCGTCGTCGTCGGCGTCGTCGTCATCGTCGTCGTCGGCGTCAGCGTCGTCGTCCTCGTCGTCGGTGTCGTCGTCGAAGTCGTTGGAGACGTCGTCGGTGTCGTCGTAGTCGTTGTCGGCGGCGGCGTCGTCGTCGTCGTCGTCAGCGTCTCCACTTGGTACCCACAGTCACGGTCTTAAGGGATTTTGCAAAACAAGTTGTGGGTGGGTGGGTGGGTGGAATGTTTGCGCGAGCAGCGGAGTGGACAACTCACCGCGAACAGAAATCAATTGCACCACGTAGGATGCACCACATCTATTCTCCTTTCTAAAAAAACAGAATAGACTCTGCCCCCCCCCGGCGTTATCGCCCCTCCTTTTCGGGTATGTAAATCACATATGATTCTGACCACATGTCCATCCTAAATATGAAACTGCCATGTCCCAGGCCAACCGGGTTCCCCCCCCTGAGGTTCCCTTGTTAAGAAATTCTATGCGGTGACATTGTTTGTTCTAGCATAACACTATTTTCACTAATCCCTGGCAAAAAAAAACAAACGAAGCGCACACGCGCGCGTCGTCGCGCGCGCATGCCGGAATCCTTCAACAACCTTCCGTGCCGGAAAGATTTCGTAATCGAGTTTCCAAAAAAACATGCAAAAACACAGGGTTTCGCAACACTGACGTGCTAAAAAAGCTTACGCGCGAGCTCTTGCGAAATCTTAGACCAACCATTGGTTTTTCAAGATTTTCACAACATGCTACCAAACGGGCGTCGCGCGCGCGCATGTCGAAATCTGTCGAACGCCCTTGCGCGTGTGCCGTCGCGAGAATCCTCGGCAAAAAATGAGACGAAGTGCAGACGCGCGCGTCGTCGCGCGCGTACGCCGAAATCCTTCAAAACCCATCGGTTTCGGAAGGGTTTCAAAATCGCGCTTGCAAAACATCTACAAAAACACAAGGTTTCGCAACACGGATTTTCAACAAAAGCGTGCGCGCGCGCTCTTGCGTCGTCGTTGTCGTCGTCGTCGTCGCCGTCCTCCGTCCACCCGCGTCGTCGTCGTCGCCTACGTCGTCCTGTGTCTTTCCTCGTGTTCGTCGTCGTCGTCCTCTTTGGCGTCGTGGTCGTTTCCGTCGTCGTTGTCGCCGTGGTCCTCCTTCCTCCTCCTCCTCGTCGTCGTCGTCGTCCGTCGTGGGCGTCTCGTCATCGTCCTTCCTATTTCGTCGCCGTCGTCGTCGTCCTTGTCGTCGTCGTCTCGTCGTCGTCTTCCCTCCTCCCTCGTCGTTGCCGTCGTCGGCGTCGCCGTCCTTCCTCCTTCTTCGTCGTTCGCGTCGTCGCCGTCCTCCCTCCTCCCTCGTTGTCGTCGTTGTCGTCGTTGTCGTCGTTCTCGCCGTCGTCGTCCTCCCTCCTCCATCGTCGTCGTTTTCGTTGGCGACGTCGTCGTCGTCTTCGTCGTCGTCGTCGGCGTCGTCGTCTCCGTCGTCGTCGACGTCGGCGTCGTCGTCGTCGCCGCCGTCGTCGTCGTGGTCGGCCGTCTTGCTTCTGCGGCCTTCTTGGGGCGCTCTTGAGACGCCCCCGAAGGTTCCAAGACGACCCCAGAGCGATGTTTGTGTTCGGTCCCGCATGGGTTTTGCAAACCAAGTTGCGGGTGGGTGGGTGGGATGATTGCGCGAGCAGTGGAGTTGACAACTTCAAGTTCGGCAAGTGAATTCGCCTTTCTATAAAAGAATAGACTCTACCCCCCCCCCACGGACGTATCGGTTCCCCCTGGGATAATGCGATTTCACACACACACACATATATATATATATGTATTGCACACTCGTCCATCCTAGATATGAAATCATACCATCCCAGCTAGGCCGGTTTCCCCCCCTGAGGTCCCCTGGTAAAAAACACTATGCGGTGACATTTGTTGTCCTAACATAATTGTTCGCGAGTCCCTTGCAAAAAAGCGAGACGAAGTGCACACGCGCGCGTCGTCGCGCGCGCATGCCGATCTCCTTCAAAAACCTTCGGTGCGGGAAAGATTTCGCAATCGAGTTTCCAAAACAACATACAAAAACACAGGGTTTCGCAACACAGAGTTGCTAAATAAGCTTCCGCGAAAGCTCTTGCGAAATCTTAAGAAAACCCTAGGTTTTTTTTTTCAAGATACTCACAACATGCTACCAAACGGGCTTCGCGCGCGCTCATGTCGAAATCTGTCGAACGCCCTTGCGCGTGTGCCGTCGCGAGAATCCCCTGCAAAAAAACTATGACGAAGTGCAGGCGCGCGCGTCGTCGGGCACGTACACCGAAAACCTTCAAAACCCATCGGTTCGGAAAGATTTCAAAATCATGTGTCCAACAATCCTACAAAAACGCAAGGTTTCGCAACACGGATTTTCAACAAAAGCGTGCGCGCGCGCTCTTGCGTCGTCGTCGTCGTCGCTGTCCTCCCTCCTCCCGCGTCGTTGTCGTCGTCGTCGCCTACGTCGTCGTCTGCCTTTCCTCGTGTTCGTCGTCGTCGTCCTCTTTGGCGTCGTGGTCGTTTTTGTCGTCGTTGTCGCCGTGGTCGTCCTTCATCCTCCTCCCTCGTCGTCGTCGTCATCCGTCGTCGGCCTCTCGTCGTCGTCCCTCCTATTTCGTCGCCGTCGTCGTCGTCGTCGTCGTCGTTGTCGTCGTCGTCGTCTTCCCTCCTCCCTCGTCGTTGCCGTCGTCGGCGTCTCCGTCCTTCCTCCTTCTTCGTCGTTCGCGTCGTCGCCGTCCTCCCTCCTCTTGTTGTCGTCGTTGTCGCCGTCGTCGTCCTCCCTCCTTCCTCGTTGTCTTCGTTGGCGACGTCGTCGTCGTCTTCGTCGTCGTCGTCGGCGTCGGCGTCGTTGTCGTCTTCGTCGTCGTCGACGTCGGCGTCGTCGTCGTCGTCGTCGTCGTCGTCGTCGTCGTCGGCGTCGTTGACGTCGTCGTCGTCGTCGTGTCGTCGTTATCGTCGTCGTCGGCGTCGTCATCGTCGTCGTCGTTGTCATCGTCGTCGTCGTCGGCGTCGGTGTCGTCGTCGTCGTCGGTGTCGTCGTCGTCGTCGTCGTGTCGGCGTCGTCGAAGTCGTTGGAGACGTCGTCGGTGTCGTCGTAGTCGTTGTCGGCGGCGTCGTCATCGTCGTTGTCGCTGTCGTCGTCGGCGTCGCTGTTTTTGCCAAGTGCCATGTGGTACCCACCGTCACGGTCTTAAGAGATTTTGCAAACCAAGTTGCGGGTGGGTGGGTGGGATGTTTGCGCGAGCAGTGGAGTGGACAACTCACTGCGAACAGAAATGAATTGCACCACATTGATTGCACCACAAATACTGCGCCACATCGATTGCACCGTTAGGGATGCACCACATATGTTGTACTACATAGTCTGATCACCACATCTAGTGCACCACAAATACTGCGCCTCATCGATTGCACCGTTAGGGATACACCACATAGACTGAACTACGTACAACGTGAACTGCACTACATAGTCTGATCACCATAACCTGCACATCTGACATTGTTAAACCTACACTGTGTGTGGGCCACGCTTGCTAACACACTCGCACATCGGTAGATATACCTATATGTGTAAATATGTAGCATGATTCATAATGCTGTGAAAACATGGGTACTGGCATCGACATCGTCGTCCACCGTCGGCAATCACCGTTAATCAACTACCGGAATCGTCGTCGCCATCAACATCGGAATGATTTGCGTTGACACCGAACAAAGTTCTAGCATAACCAATACTATCACCAAAACGTTGTGGTTCATCACCGCCATCATCAAAAGCCATCACCATCAGTATCATCACCGTCCTCATTTTCACCGCTGTCACTGGCACCCCATAGTGTCTCCATCAGCGCTACTCGTGAACCTACCTGTGCGGTGTAGATTAACTTCCTGGCAGGGGTAATGCGTACCGCCTACGTCCATCGTCCGAATATCTGTGGTGCCGAGTCCTTCCTGTTCGGATGTAGGAGTTCCGCAAGCTCAATGGTCCCATCACACTTGCAACAAACACTCACTCATCATCGGGATGATACTCATCATTACAATTGCATCGGCTATGGTGGATGAAGCTATATGAAATACCTGCTGCTAGAGAGCACGCGTGTAGGTGGCTTGTGCTTCCCTGTTGTGTACAGGAAACACAGAGATGAGCATGCACGAACAAGCCGCCCTCTCCTTGGGGCCCCTATGAACACAAGGCGGTTGGCATCGAATTGACCTCAGGGGCCCATGGAGGTATTTTCAGATGGGAGGCGAAATCGAAATTGACCCTTTAGGCTTCAGCCCAATATCTTGCGGCTGAGATCGATGGCAACGTCGTTAGAGGTCGGCAGTATCCGGACAGGACCTAACTTTGTTTGTCGAATCGACAAAGCCATGACAACCCCAAGAGGTCACCGCCTCGCTGGAGACCTTCCCATGCCAGAATTCAGGAGCTGCCAGGATGGAGACCAGGAAATGCTCCTGAACAGACCCAAAAACGAGTTCCTAATAGCGTGATTGGCAAAACACGTTGCCCCGGCGAAGAGACAACAGCATGATCAAATATAAACATATCGACTGACCCATGGTAACGGCCCAAACTACATCAAATCTTATTCGGCGTTTCGACCTTGGGCGGAAGGGCGGGGGGTCTGGCTCCGGACCTCGGCTTAGTGCGACTGTTTGTAGCAGTGGGTCTTATGAGGGGAGACTCCACCTGCTCGAAACAAGCGCCCCAAACAGCCAAGATCCGCTGCAGTGGGGGGTCGGAGGTGGGGTCCGAGGGCGCGCCGATCGGCAAAACAATGAAAAACAACGATCACATGGCAATACGCAATGGTCCAAAGCGGCACTGCCTGCCGAAAACACCGTAGCATCGGAAACAAAGCGATAAACGCATCGCTGCCATGGCCACCTCTGCGTTGCTCCCACTCCCGCCCACGCTCCCTCTCCCGCTCCCTCTCCCTCTCACGCTCCAACTCGCACTCCCGCCGCTCGCTCTCGCCCAATCCCCCCGATGGTCATGGCCAAATCGTCTGCCGTGTTTGTCTGGCCAGGGCAGGAAATTAACTGCTCCGGCTCTGCCGGTGTTTGTCTGGGCTCTCTTAACTGCTGCGGCCTTGTGGTCTGGCTCAAGCCAGGACAATTAGGAACGGCCTGGGTGGCACCATACAGCTCAGGAGCCCTGAGCTCCGACGTCGCGAGAAGATGAACGATAGGAGAAAATCACGACGCGAACCCTGGACCCAATCTTCTGGCGGCATTTCTCGAGCGGGGTCGATCTGTGAGGGCCCCCGGGCCCGAAACAGAACGACGACCAGCGCGCAAAAGTTCAACGGCCAGGTCTCATGGAGGACTATCGGGTCCGCCCGTTGGCCGCGCTCACTGGATCGCCGAGTCCCCGCCGAAATCCCCGCGGTGCCCTGCCCACCGCCCTCTTCTCCGCCCCGCTCACGAGTGCCTCCCGCAGATCTTGGAGCCTGCCCCGCGCGCGCAGCCCCCCCCCCTCCGCGGCGCGGCCCGACTGGCCTCCGGCAGGCCCCCCCCCGCCCGCGACGCGGCCCAACTGGCCTCTGGCAGTCTTCGAGCAGGCCGCGGCAGGACAGGGCGCGCGCTCCGCGGGAGAGAGGGTTCACGCTCATGTCGTCTCGTTTTGCTTGAGGAAGGGGGGAGAGGGGCACCGGGGGGGGAGGCGAGATGAGTAACGAACGAATGCCACTACAGCAGGAGCTGTCCCTGACTTCAAGAATTAGGCGTGCAACGCCTCGGCGCCCAGCACGACCTCTCGACTAGACCTGTCTGAAGGGATCGTGGATGTCGCTGTCTGCGAAGGTGGTGTACGAACTGTCTGGCGTAGCCTGGAAACCACGTGTCCGCATGTGCTTGCAACCGTGCGTCTGCAGTGGGGAGGAGAGGTGAGGAAGAGATGAGGAGGAGCCAACAAGCAAACAAGTCTGAACAGTCAGGCCCCGAGGGTCATGTTGTTGAGATGGTGCTAGGCCTATAATCTCGATAAGAAAATAAAAAGGTGCTAGGCCTAGAATCTCTATAAACAAATAAAACAGGTATAGGAAGAAGGTGTCGTGCTGAGGCCTTGTGCAGGTGTCGGTAATCATCCAAAAAGGTATCGCCGACAAGCGCTCGGAAGGTATCAGGAAATATTGCCATGATATGTTGCATGGTATAGTTTATTTTCAGGGTATCGCGTATTTTGGAATTGTTCCCAACCATCCTGTGGTGTTGGGTCCTCGTTTTGAAGAGACGGTGCCCCGCGTTCCCTCCTCCCGCTGCCCCCTCCCTCCTGCCATCATCATCACCATCACCATCACCATCACCATCACCATCACCATCACCATCACCATCACCATCACCATCACCATCACCATCACCATCACCATCACCATCACCATCATCATCATCATCATCATCATCATCATCATCATCAGCATCAGCATCAGCATCAGCACCAGCACCAGATCAGCATCAGCATCAGCATCATCATCATCATCATCATCATCATCATCATCATCATCATCATCATCATCATCATCATCATCATCATCATCATCATCATCATCATCATCATCATCATCATCATCATCATCATCATCATCATCATCATCATCATCATCATCATCATCATCATCATCATCATCATCATCATCATCATCATCATCATCATCATCATCATCATCATCATCATCATCATCATCATCATCATCATCTTCCCTGCGTTTCACCCACCCAGTACAGCGTTTCGTAGCCCCATAGGAGCTCCACCGAAGGCCCCAGTACCCGCGCCCGCATGCGTCACCCACACCCAATTCGGCACACCCCTCACACGTTTCGTGGCTCCATAGGGAGCTCCACCGAAGGCCCCAGTGCCCGCGCCCGCATGCGTCACCCACACCCATTTCGGCACACCCCTCACACGTTTCGTGGCTCCATAGGGAGCTCCACCGAAGGCCCCAGTGCCCGCGCCCGCATGCGTCACCCACACCCATTTCGGCACACCCCTCACACGTTCGTGGCTCCATAGGGAGCTCCACCGAAGGCCCCAGTGCCCGCGCCCGCATGCGTCACCCACACCCATTTCGGCACACCCCTCACACGTTTCGTGGCTCCATAGGGAGCTCCACCGAAGGCCCCAGTGCCCGCGCCCGCATGCGTCACCCACACCCATTTCGGCACACCCCTCACACGTTTCGTGGCTCCATAGGGAGCTCCACCGAAGGCCCCAGTGCCCGCGCCCGCATGCGTCACCCACACCCATTTCGGCACACCCCTCACACGTTTCGTGGCTCCATAGGGAGCTCCACCGAAGGCCCCAGTGCCCGCGCCCGCATGCGTCACCCACACCCATTTCGGCACACCCCTCACACGTTTCGTGGCTCCATAGGGAGCTCCGCCGAAGGCCCCAGTGCCCGCCCGCATGCGTCACCCACACCCATTTCGGCACACCCCTCACACGTTTCGTGGCTCCATAGGGAGCTCCACCGAAGGCCCCAGTGCCCGCGCCCGCATGCGTCACCCACACCCATTTCGGCACACCCCTCACACGTTTCGTGGCTCCATAGGGAGCTCCACCGAAGGCCCCCAGCGTGCCGCGGCACACGCATAGCGTCACCCTTCACATTTCGGCACACCCCCACACGTTTCGTGGCTCTTAGTTGCGTCGTGGCCCCAGTGCCCAGTGCCCGCGCCGCATGCGTCACCCACACCCGGCACACCCCTCACACGTTTCGTGGCTCCATAGGGAGCTCCACCGAAGGCCCCAGTGCCCGCGCCCGCATGCGTCACCCACACCCATTTCGGCACACCCCTCACACGTTTCGTGGCTCCATAGGGAGCTCCACCGAAGGCCCCAGTGCCCGCGGCCGCATGCGTCCCCCACACCCATTTCGGCACACCCCTCACACGTTTCGTGGCTCCATAGGGAGCTCCACCGAAGGCCCCAGTGCCCGCGGCCGCATGCGTCACCCACACCCATTTCGGCACACCCCTCACACGTTTCGTGGCTCCATAGGGAGCTCCACCGAAGGCCCCAGTGCCCGCGCCCGCATGCGTCACCCACACCCATTTCGGCACACCCCTCACACGTTTCGTGGCTCCATAGGGAGCTCCACCGAAGGCCCCAGTGCCCGCGCCCGCATGCGTCACCCACACCCATTTCGGCACACCCCTCACACGTTTCGTGGCCCCATAGGGAGCTCCGCCGAAGGCCCCAGTGCCCGCGCCCGCATGCGTCACCCACACCCATTTCGGCACGCCCCTCACGCGTTCCGTGGCCCCATAGGGAGCTCCGCCGAAGGTCCCAATGGGTGTGCCCGCATGCGCCCCGCACACCCATTTCGGCACACCCCTCACACGTTTCTTGGCCCCATAGAGAGCTCCACCGAAGGCCCCAGTGGGTGTGCCCGCATGCGTCCCGCATACACATTTCGGCACACCCCTCGTACGTTTCGTGGCCCCGTAGGGGGCTCCACCGAGAAGATATTCACAATTGCAGTATTCACAATTGCATATGGTTGGGTCCTTCGCCAGGCTATTTGTTTTGCAAGGGTGTAAACTATGATCTCCGCGAGCTTGGCTCGAGCGCACGCCATGAGTCCCCGTAAGAACCTGTGAGGACCGCTGGAGGGACTCATGAGGGACCTCGCGCTGTCCCCTCGGGCTGTCCCCTCGGGCCGTCCCCTCGGGCCGAGGGGACAGCGCGGGGGGCCAGAGTCCTCAGCGGTCAGCATGGTAATTGGTGTTGGACTGCGGTGGCCCAAATGAAGGAGGCCAGAAATTTGGCGGACGTATGCAGACACGGTCGGACTCGGACGGCCTGGAAGAGGAGTCGGACAAGGCGTGTCGGGAAAAGATGAGGGAACAGAGGATGGGACGTTGGCGGAAGATGAATGGAACGGAGGGTGTATGAGGGGAGAGGAAGTGAATGCGCCTGATGATAACGCCGACAACACCAACATGCACTCCGAACATACGGACTACATCAGGCGCTGTGGGACTCGATATCTTCATGAGGAAATCCGAAAAAGAGATGGGTACGATGCCCAACAACCAATGTTGTCCAACACCGACAGCATCAGCACTTGGGCAAGTGGCCTTCTGCCTCAAATGGACAACGACCGCTGCGACGCCGACAAAGACACCTGTTCAGAACGAGCAAGAACATCCGTTGGACTTTGTACCCATTCTTTCCGTACCCATTCCGATCGTCCCGATCGTGGTGGCCCTAGAACGGCACACCTCCTGCGGCACCCGGCAATCCTGGACCGCGGACCGCTCCTGAGGAGGAGCAGGAGCAGGAGGAGGAAGGATAAGAGGAGGGATAGAAGGAGGAGAGATAGGAGGAGGGATAGGAGGAGGGAGGAGAGAAGAGGAGGAGGAGGAGGGATAGGACGAGGAGGAGGAGGAGGAGGAGGGATAGGATGATGATGATGATGATGCTGATGATGATGATGATGATGATGATGATG